TGTAAGTAGCACTCTCCTATACCTTGTGTAACTTACAACCCCTAACATACTAAGATGTTGCAAAGCACGAGTAACTGACAAACGTTTTACATTAAGATATTCTGCTATTTCAGATGGACGTGCCGAATTTTTTCTTCTGCATATATAATATATAGTCTCTATATAATCTTCTAAACTATCTGTAAGTTGTATATTCATACTTATTTACATTATTTCACACTTATTATTATAGCTCGATTATAAAAAATGAAGGTGGTAATCATCTATCTGGTGGAGATAATCACTGATAATATCTTCAATCTGCTTATACTCTACCAGAAAAGCATCGTGTCCGTAAACCGAACTAATCTCCCTATACTGCACTCTGTTGATAAAAGGAAGCACTGACTTCACTTCCATTGGATAGAACAATAAATCAGAATCTATCCCTATCTTTATACGTTTGACTGAATACGGGAGAGGGCTTCTTCTATTGATGTATGTGCAGTGCATACAGTGTGGCTGTTCATCATTTCTATCAATCGTATAAAAGAAAACACATTAAAACGCTCAATGAATTTACTTCCTTGATAATCTAAATACTCTGTTGTAATTACTTGTGGGCTTTTTTGCTTTACATGCTCTATAAAACCCTGCTCGTCCGCAGAGTTTGATAATTGCATTTTTACGTTCTGAAACAGCTGAAAAATAATAGGAGAACGAAAAGAAAGGAAGGCTATTTCTCTAGCTGTTTTCATTCCCTGCTTGCCTGCATCTGGGTGTCTTTCTTTCCATGTAGGATCGGCATAAATACTCTGTAGCTGTATATGGTGAGAAGCCAACATCCATGTCGATATAACGGGGCTTGCTGCAATAATAATGGCACTGGAGATAGCACTGGGGTAACTGCAGAGCCACTGGTACAGAATTTGCCCCCCCATAGAAGCTCCACATGCTATTCGTACGACATCAATGTGCAGTGCCTCCCGCAGTACTTCAAAGGACTGTACTACATCTCTTATGGTAAGCGTGGGAAAATCATGGTAGTACGGTTTTGCACTACGGGGGTTTATATCGAGCGGTGAAGTGGATCCGTAGGGGGATCCGGGGTTATTAACACATATAATAAAATACCTCTGCGGATCAAAGATATGTCCTAGACCAACAACTCCGCCCCACCACTGCATGGGGTCGCTGGTAGAGGTAAGCGGATGTATAAACCATACTACGTTATCCCTTTTCTTATTGAGATATCCATAACTTGTATAGAAGAGATGGAAATTCTCGATCACTTCTCCATTTTCTGTATGGAAATCTTTAATAAAAAATGTGTGTTCTTGTCTGTTGCTTCTTATGTCATCTTTGTGTGTATTGATATCAGCATCCTTCCTGTGATGTTACGAATCTACAGCACTTTTCTTTGTGGGGGACGAAGAGGAAACTGAACTACTATTCGTGCTAGTTTCTGATGTACTTGCTTCTTTTGCCTTAGAGTCTTGTTCTTTAGAAGAGGCCGTGTCTTTGCTGCTTCCTTGTACGCTAGCACTAGGCTTTGCTTTGCTGTCATTCACATAGAAACCACTTCCCTTAAATATTACTCCAGCACTCTTTGATACCAAACGTTGTAGCGATGGTTTACCACAGGTGCTGCACTGCTTCTTTACTTCCTCGTTCATTGAGTGAAATATCTCTATTGTTGTATCACAACTGGAGCAGTAATAATCGTATAATGGCATTGTTTTCTCCTTATTGCTGTATTGCAATTTATTTTCTTACATCTATGCATGCCCGTGCAAGCACATCTTTTATTTGACTCACAGTGTAGTGACCGTAATGCAGCATCGATGCTACCAGTGCGGCGTCGGCTCTTCCTTTACGAAATACTTCTACAAGATCCTGAGGGGTTCCAGCCCCCCCAGAAGCAACGACGGGTACTGTTACAGCCTCAGAAATCATCTTTACCAAAGTACATTCGTATCCTTGACGAGTCCCGTCTGCATCAATGCTATTAAGTACTATCTCGCCTGCGCCCCTCTCTACTGCTTCTATTGCCCATGCACGTACATCTTTCTCTGTCTTCTCTCTCCCCCCCTTAATCAATACCCTGTACCCACTAGGCATGCTTGGGTCTGCTAACGCATCCATACCAAGCACTATGCACTGATTGCCAAACTTCTTCGCTCCATTATCGATAATAGAAGGGTTGTGTACCGCTGCGCTGTTTACACTAATCTTTTCTGCGCCAGCAGCAAGTAATAAAGACATGTCATAGACAGATCTCACCCCCCCTCCAACCGAAAAGGGAATAAAAATATTCTGGGCAACGCGTTTCACCACATCGATCATTATTCCTCTATGCTCTGAAGATGCAGTAATATCGTATAGCACAAGCTCATCTGCCCCGGTTTCATAGTAATGTTGTGCAAGGAGTACTGGATCGCCTATATCTTTATTATTCTTAAAGCGCACCCCTTTTGTTACTTTTGCATCTCTTACATCTAGGCATACTATTACTCTTTTCTTTATCATATGCATCAATGCTCGTGTTTTTATTGTAGCAAATTAGTAGTATCTAAGAAAGTTATCTAGTATTCTCAGCCCCGCCTTTCCTGATTTCTCTGGATGGAATTGCAGTCCTATGGCCGAACCTTTACCTATAACAGATGCAAAATTCTGTATATATTCTGTCTTTGCCAAGATAACAGCCTCCTCGTCGGGTTGCAAGTAGAATGAATGCACAAAGTACATGGGAGTTTTGTTCTCTATATGGGTAAAGAGAGGGCATTGCTCTGTCTGTATCTCCAATTCATTCCACCCAATATGTGGAATTTTAAATTCGCTGTTCTGTGTATGGAATTTTTTACACGCCCCCTTCATAACATCAAAGCACTGTTTCTGTCCTTCTTCTGTATAAGAAAGTAAAACCTGCGCTCCCACACAAATACCTAAAAGGGGGTTGCCGTTATGCATCCATTCTAGCAATGGTTCTACTAACCCTAAGCTTTCTAAGCTTTTCATCATAAACGAACCATCACCTACTCCGGGAAGGATAATTTTTGTGCACCGCTGTATATCCCTTGGCTCCGAACTTACATAGCAATCATACATAAGATGTGCAAGGCTATTACGTACCGAGGTCATGTTTCCTGCGCCGTAATCAATTATCAGTATCATCTCGTTGTAAAGAAAAAATACTTGGTGTAATGTAGTTCTCTATTAGCACTAAAGGTACGGGTATAGCTTCGATAACAATACGTGCGTCTACAGTTCTTACATGTGGGAGAGTTTCAGAGAGATCGCTATCCTGCTCCACTTCAAGAAAACTAAACATGTTAGGAAGTAGCATTTTGAAGAAGGTTACATCTCTTTTCTTTCCTGAGTAAGGCAGTACAATGCTTGAGATAGCATGTTTGTTCTCATCATAGCCCTGAGAACTTACAAAACCCCATTCAGCAAGATATCTATCCTCAAACGAAAACTCATCTACAAAATCGAAACTTGTGCTCCAAATCCAAAAATTATTCTCTTCTGTAATAAAGGAAGAAAGAAACTCATCTGGCACCCAATCAAAACGCAAACGCTTGTAGTTTTCATAATGAATGTTAGTAATTCCAATGGTCGCATGGTATTGCATATCAAACAAAACACTCTCTATACTACTGTCTCTAAGAGAAAATAGTTGCTCGTTTACCTGCTCTAATATCCCAAAATCTAATATGCTTTGCTTGAGGCTGTCGCTTTCTAGCCCAACAAAGAACACAAACTTATCTTGTAAGATATTTATCTTAATAAAGCGAACGCGTGGGAGCAAGATAGTTCTAGCAATACCCTGTGGAAGCAGAGGGCTAAGAATCTTTTCTATCATAAATGAATCTCTAATAGCCGAGAAAAGCGTAAAACCAGAATAGTATGGATATTCAGTGAATTCCTGGACATCACTTACCACAGCCACTGCATCCCCGCTATCCTCCTCACTGCTCTCTTCTATGTTTTGGTTACTTGCACACGCTGTATATAGTATAGACATAACTATCAGTAGAAATACGTTGTGTTTACAGGAAAGGGTCTTCTGATTTTTCATGCTTAGATCTTCACTATATGTAATTGTATTGTATTGTTGTTAACAATACAATTATGCACAGCACCATCTTTTCTTAACTCAGAGACAAGGACCTCCTTAGATAACGTTTCTTCTTTAAGATAACTCATAAACCCATCTACAGAGTGTGTAATTGTTTCATTGTCGGTGCAAATTTCTAAGTGGATTCTATCGCTAATTGCTAAACCGATGTTTCTTCTTGCTATTTGTACATTACGTACAATATCTCTTACTATTCCTTCTTGTAATAACTCTGTGCTTATATTAGGGTCTAATGCTACTGTCATTGTTCCATCGTTTAGTACTTTAAGATTGTCCTTTTCCTTTCTATTAATAACCACGCTGTCTTTGTTCAGTTCAATTTCTTGACCTTCTACTTCTACAATGAGTGTTTTCCCCTCCAATAATCTTACAATCTGATCCACATTGAGGCTCGAAATAAACTGGGAAGCTTGCTTCATCTTTGCCCCTAGTGTGCTACCTAAGACCTTAAAATTTGCTTTAATAGTATACGTAACTAAATGCTCCTCATTCTGGCTCACGAGAACCTGCTTTACATTTAATTCTTCCTTCAATATACCTTCCATTTCACGCAGAGCGTCTTCTTCTTCTTTGTCTTTTGTGGCTATATGAAGTGTACTAAGTGGTTGCCTATTTTTAACTGATGAAGACTGCGAATCCCGCGACCTAGAAATACAGCTTTTCGTAATACACTCATTCTTTTTTCTAAACTATGATTTCGTTGGAAGATTGCCACAGGAAAATCACAGAGGTGTATTGATTCTGGCATGGTATCGGTTCTAAGATTCCTATATATCACTTCACTGATAAAGGGGGTGATTGGGGCGATAAGAGTAATGAAATACATAATCACTCTGTATAGAGTCTCATATCCCTCTATCTTATCTTTATCATTTTCGCTTTTCCAAAACCTCCTACGTGAGCGTCTGATATACCAGTTATTAAGCTTATCTACAAATTCATACATTTCCTGCAGTGCTGAAAGTATCTCATACGTTCCTAAGTACGTGTCAACATGCTCTACTAAATAGGACAGCTCAGAGAGTACCCATTGATCAAGTGGGTTCTCGGGTTCTATAAGATCGAGGTTTCTAGGTCTTACGTTATCAATGCGAGCGTATGTAATAAAAAAACTATACGCACTCCATAATGGAAGTATGAAACGTTTTATTTCCTCCTTTACACTATCATCTGAATAACGAAGATCTTCTGCTTTGAGCACTGATGAATTGATAAGAAATAAACGTAGTGCATCTGCTCCAAATGCATCGATAACTTTTACCGGGTCCGTAAAATTTCTCTCTGATTTACTCATCTTTTTTCCGTCTTCTGCTAGCACGAGACCGTTTACAATTACGTTGTTGAATGCTGCTGTATCAAATAGGGCTGATGCTAGGACTGTAAGTGTATAGAACCACCCTCTTGTCTGATCTAAGCCCTCACTTACAAAATCTGCAGGAAAATTTTTTTCAAAATTTGCTTTATTTTCAAATGGGTAGTGATTGTATGCGTAAGGCATAGCTCCTGATTCGAACCAACAATCCAGTACCTCTGGAACCCTTCGCATTATTCCCTTTTTGTTTGGGGTCTCCCAAGTAAGATGGTCTATTTTATCTTTATGGAGATCGTCGACCTTACTGCCTGATTTTTTTTCTAATTCTTCTATAGAACCAATAACCTCAACGCACGATTCGTCCTCGTTCATCCATACAGGGAGTGGATTACCCCAGTATCTATTACGAGAAATTGCCCATTCTTGTGCGTTCTCTAACCATTTGCCAAACCGCCCATATTTAAGGTGCTCGGGATGCCAGTTAATGGTGCTGTTTGCTGCTTCCATTTTTTCTTTAATCTTCGCAATATCAACAAACCACGAGCTTACTGCTCTGTAGATAAGCGGTGTCTTTGTGCGATAACAAAATGGGTACCTATGAAGATATTGTTCGTGGCGTATTATTTTTTTTTGCTTCTTGAGTTCTTTAATAATGTCCGAGTTGGCATCACGAACAAAAACCCCCTCGTACTCGGGTATTTCTGATGTAAACTTACATTCACTGTCTACTGGGCATGCTACTGGTATTCCAGCTTTTTTACAAAGCACAATATAATCATCCTCGCCGAAGCCACCGGCCATATGCACTATGCCGGTTCCATCTTCTAGGCTTACAAAATCAGCTACGTGTACACGGAACGCTCCCTGCTTTTCCTGGTTCTTAAAATAATCATATAAGGGCACGTATTTCATCCCTTCCAAGTCTTTTCCTTTGTATCGTTTTACTATCTGATACTCTGACTCAGAGGAATAATAATGCGTGAGACGTTGTTCTGCTAATATGTAGCACTCGTCTGCGTCTTTTACTTTTACATAGTCTATGTCCTCTCCTAGCGCTAGTCCTTGATTGGAAATTAATGTCCATGGGGTGGTTGTCCATGCAAGAAAGAACTCATTATGAGTGTCTGCTATCTTAAACTTTACCGTAAGCGAAGGATCGTGCACTTCTTGATACCCTCCAAGGTTTACCTCGAAATTAGACAGGGGTGTAGATAGTGTGGGGCTGTAAGGAAGTATGTAGTGTCCTTTATAAATGTATCCCTTCTCCCACAACGTCTTGAAAACCCACCATATCGATTCCATATAGTGCTTATCCATAGTTTTATAATCATTGTCAAAATCCACCCATCTCCCTAAACGTTCGATAATCTTTCTCCACTCTGAGGTGTAGCGGAGAACTATGTTTCTACAACGCTCGTTAAACGCAGCTATACCAAATACTTCAATGTCTTTCTTGCCTGAAACTCCTATCTCCTTTTCTACTTCATATTCCACTGGTAACCCATGACAATCCCAGCCGAATCTTCTCTGTACACATTTTCCTTTCATTGTCTGATAACGTGGAATAATGTCTTTTACTGTTCCGGGCACGAAATGACCAAAATGGGGGAGGCCTGTGGCAAATGGGGGCCCATCATAAAACACAAATTCCTCCCTGCCGGCGTTTTTCTCTATCGATTTCTGAAATATCTTTTTTTCTTTCCAAAAGGCAAGTATCTTTTTCTCCATTTCGGGAAAGTTTCCGTGGAGATCCACTTCTTCAAACATCACCTCTCCTTACGTATTATTTGGTATTGTACGAGACCACACCTCGATTCCAAACCGCTCAACTGTATACTTATCGCCTGGTTGTATATAATATGGAATAGCTATGTTTCCTCCGCGGGAAAGAAATTTCAAATACTGCCTCTTTATTGCTCTTACTCCGCTGGTGCTTGCTGGTGTTATATATATGGTAATTTCATGGTCATATTCGTACTCGGTAAGAGGAAGCTCCATTATTCCTACTCTGCGATATTCTGTCGTATCGAGTGCCTCCGCCTCCTCTTCAGATAGTTCCTGATTTAGCACCATGTTCTCTCGTATTCCAATATACATTGTATTGCTACTTATAATGCTTTCGTCTGGAACAGGAACTTGTTCTAAAATCAAACCTGCAATGAGTGTATCTCCCTCTGTTTCAGTTTCTAGTATGAATTGCGTATCTTCCACAAAATAGAAAATAAATGATGGGGAATGTGCTTCGATAATAGGAAAAAAGTCTTCAAAGGGGAGACCTAACATATCTGGCATGCTCTCTTCAAAGGTACCACTCCCTCTACTCACTACCACTCTCATGGTAACAAATTCATTGCCCAGTTTTGTCCCTTGAGGTGGGTATTGACCTAGCACTGTCCCGACCGGGCTTTCATCAAACATCTTGCTTATATATCCTATGCTAAAATATGTATCCAAACCATCAGAAGATACAACTGTATTTTCTCTAATATCTGTAAGTGTTTTTCCTAAGAGACGTGGTATTGCTTGTACCTGCTTTCCTTTGTCTACCACTAATTGTATCATCCTGTTTTCCCTCACACTAATGCCTGGTTTAGGATCTTGCGAGAGTATTTCCCTTTGTATTTTTGAAGTGCTTGAACTTTGCTCTGAAATCTTTACAAGTAAATTTCTTTGTTGCAATTCAAGTATTCCCTCTACCAACTGCATGCCTACTAAATCAGGAACTACTACAGTTTTAGGTTTGTAATAAAAAATAAGATAACTTACAAAAGCCACCACAGCAATAACTAACCAGTATATAAATACGATACGTGTAAGCTGGAATATTTTTTGTAGTATTTTTGAGGTCTTTGTTCGAGAACGCAGATCTGTGCTGTCTAACTCACTCGTAATGAAATGTTCCGTGTCCATGTTAATATATTTTCACTCCAATAATATCTTTGTTTCCTTGAATAAATTCTTTCCACTTTAGTTTTTTTCTATGTTCAAGCTGCAATTCTTGAATTGCAAAGCTACCTCTTACTGTACTTACTATAATACCATAGTCATTATGTACTCCTAAGACTGTCCCGGGTGCAGAATCGCTACTTGTGTGTGTGCATGCAATACGTGCTTTCTCTGGCACTAATACTGCACGCCATATCTTAACTACAGCAGACTTAAAATGCACCTTTACCCCAGACAACGGCTGTACATACGCCCTGCTCAAAAGCACTATCTGCTCTGCACTTTCCCATCCCTGCAAAAACCCGTACCGGGAATTATATTTCAAAGTGTAGGTAGCGTTCTGTGCGTTTTGCTGTTGAGCAAGGGCATAGCACGTATCATAACGTGGTATCAATTGTTTTACAAGCTGGGCTGAGTCGCTTGCGAGTTCCTCCGTAAGGCTGTGGTAGGTGTGATCAGGACGGATATTGCGTGTTGACTGTAGTATAATATCCCCCTCATCCATTGCTGCTGCTATTTTTTGCACACTTACCCCAGTACTGGCATCGTTGGCAAGTAATGCTGCGAGTATAGGTGTTGCCCCTCTATGTCTCGGTAAGAGGGAGGGATGAATATTAACAGAACCCTTGGGAAAAAGTGAAAGAAATTTTTCGCCAAAGAATTTCCCGTATGCTGCGCAAATCATGCATTCGGGGGTGTATCTTGCTATCTGTTCTCGACAATGCGAGTCTAGTTTTTCTGGTGTAATGCATGGTATGCCCACAGACTGGGCGTAGAGTTTTACTGGGGTGGCATGTAGTTGTTTATGCCTCCCTGCGGGCTTATCCTCTCGGGTAAGGACAGCAACAACATCTGAAGTGGACACAAGAGCCTCCAAAGAGGGAAGTGAGAAATGAGTGGAGCCTGAGAAAAGCACTCTCATTGTTTTTGTATTCTCTCTACTCCCCATTCCCTTTGTAATGCTTCATATTCTAGTAACAGCTTCCTTCTCATGCCTTTAGGGAGATGATCGATAAACAAAACCCCCTCCATATGATCAAATTCATGGAGGATAATTCTCCCCAAGAATGTATCTGTTTCTATTTCAAAGTACTCACCGTCTTCCTTCTGAGCACGAACATGTACTACCTTTGGGCGTTCTACATGGGCATAGACACCGGGGATACTTAGGCAACCCTCTTCGTAGTATATTGTGCTTTTGCTTAGATATGTAATTTCTGGATTAATAAATGTATGCAGAGTCTCTTCGAATTTCACTAGAAAACACCTCTGCATGCAGTCTAGTTGTGTAGCCGCTAATCCACAGCCTTTTTTTTCTTCAAGCACGCACTTCATACCTGCGAGTAAGGTATGTAGTTCTTTGTTAAAACGCTGCACCTTCTGAGACTTCTTTCTCAAAGTTTCGTGAGGGTGGTACACTAAATTATATCCCATACGTATATTTTATATAAAATCACAATCTTGCTTGTTTATATAGAAAGTAGTGTATTTCTAGTGTGATATACTAGGCATATGAGCAGTACAAAGATCCATGCATTGATTATTATAGGAAGCGGTCCTGCAGGATATACAGCAGCACTATATGCAGCAAGAGCAAGGTTAGAGCCTGTGTTATTTGCGGGATGGATGGCAGGGGGTATCGCTGCTGGCGGTCAGCTTACAAGCACTTCTATCGTAGAAAATTTTCCTGGTTTCCCTAAGGGGATTGATGGTCCAGAACTCATGGTGTTAATGCAAGAGCAAGCTGAACGCTTTGGAACTACAGTGTTTATAGAAACAGTGGAATCGGTTGATCTTAAGACAAGACCATTTACGGTGTCAAGTAATGCTCGATCGCTTAAAGCTCACAGTATTATTATTGCCAGTGGAGCAATAGCAAAAAGAATGGGTATCCCCGGAGAAGATAAGTACTGGGACAAGGGAATATCTGCCTGCGCAATATGTGATGCTGCACTCCCTATTTTTCGCAATAAAGAACTTTTAGTGGTAGGTGGGGGGGATTCTGCATGTGAAGAGGCGTATTTTCTTACTAAATTTGGCTCTAAAGTCTATATGGCTGTTCGGAGAAATGAACTTCGAGCATCAAAAGAGATGCAAGATCGGGTGCTACAGCACCCTAAAATTGAAATTCTCTGGGGAACTGAAGTAAAGGAAGCTCATGGGGGAGAGGGGCTACGTGGCACTTTAGAATCAGTTACGCTCTTTCAAAAAAAGGATGGCAAGGAACGGCAACTACCTGTAAGTGGGTTGTTCTATGCAATTGGGCATAGTCCCAACAGTTCCTTTCTTGCTGGGCAACTCACACTTGATGCTGCACAGTACATAGTAACCACACATAACACACAGTGCTCTGTTGAGGGTGTATTCGCCTGTGGTGATGTTCAAGACGCTCACTACCGACAAGCTATTACTGCTGCGGGGAGTGGTTGCATGGCAGCTCTCGATGCGGAACATTGGCTAGCTTCACAAAAAAACATCATATAGTACTTTAGTGCTTACTTATAAGTGCTTACTTACTTATAGTACTTAGTATGTTGCAATACTTAGATTTACGACTTTTGTTCCGTATCGAGATATTATATCTCATGTGTACCTTGCTGTGGTTTGCACACCTGTAGCACACTTGTTGTGTTGCGGTGTGCTTATCTCGGTGTGTCCTGTTGCTGTACTACTTATTCACTATACCTATAGTAAACATTGTGTCATCTCTTCGAAGTCTAAATAATGCTTCTTTTTCTTTATCTACAAGATTAAGCACAGAGTAAAATTCCTTAGCGTTGCGAATCTTTGTGTTGTTAATCTTTTCTATCACATCTCCCACTCGCAGACCTGAGGTATAAGCGGCAGATTCTCGTATCACATTGGTAATAATAACCCCATCACTCGTCTGCACTTTCTTTCTTATACTCTTGGATATATCCGCTATCTTAAACCCGGGCCATGGCAGACTCGTGTCGTTTTGTTCTTTTTCTCTGTCTCCTAATCGAATAGAGAGACTTAGAGGGATGGAGCTTCGATACAAGTCAATTACCACTGTATAATTAGGGGCGTGTGCGGTAATTGCAGTAATAAGTTCGCTATGAGTTGTAACCTCTGCTTTTTCAACAGAATATATAATATCTCCTGGTTTTACCCCCGCCTTGTCTGCGGGCGAGTCAGAATACACACCAAGCACTAAGGCTCCTTTCTGCTGTCCTAAGGAAGGCACCTGCTTGTTATTTGCTGTTTCAACATATACTCCCAACCAACCATAGTCAACCCTCCCTTTCTCAATAACCGAGTTGACACTGATCATTGCATTATTGATGGGAACAGCAAAGCTTAGCCCTTCGTTTCCCCCTCCTCCTTCCGAGTATATCCATGTATTAATACCTATAACTTCACCCTGTATGTTTATAAGAGGACCACCACTGTTCCCTCTATTTACTGCTGCATCAGTTTGTATATAATCAGTAAGCACCCCTGCTCCTCTAGAGGCTCTATTAAGAGCACTGATAATACCAAACGTTATTGAAGATTGAAATCCATAGGGATTGCCTACAGCAAAGACTATGTCTCCTGGTTCTAGTTCATCAGAATCTCCTATTTCTGCTGTCTTATAATCATACTCAGACACAAACGATAAAACAGCTAAATCCCTTCCTGCATCAACACCAACAACCTTTCCGTCATACGTATTGTCCTCGTATGTTGTAATCGCTATGGTGTCAGCATTATTTATAACATGCTCGTTCGTTATCACATAGTACGTGTCTTGTCTATTCTTTCTAAGAATAACACCCGAACCTAATCCTTGCTGGTTAAATTCTCGTTTAGGTGGTTCCGTGTCTCCATTTTCTCTTTCCCTAAAGGGGTTATTAAAGAAAAAGAAAAAACTCCTTCGTTGCCCTACTTCGATAGTACTTGAAACATCAATTTGCACAACAGTAGGAAGTACATCTTGAGCTATTTTCCTTGTATCCTCTTGAAGATCAAAAAGAAAATCGCTTTGGGGAAACGCTACCGTAGCTATGCACATGCATAATATAAATATAAATACTCTCTTCATACAAACTCCTGTATATCTTTTTGATTTTTGATAACTTCCTTTAATTTGATTTTTGATAACTTCCTTTAACTTAATAATACCACACGCACAATTATATAAGGCTTACGTAATTATTACACTTTTGTAATAGAGAAGGTAACAATAAAAGTAGCGCCCTTTCCCAACTCTGATTGCACATCTACGGTCCCACCGTATGCTTTTGCAATACTTCTCACTATGCTAAGACCAAAACCCGCTCCCTCTTTCTGTATATCTGTGTTCTTGTTTTTCTTCCATGTCGATATCCAAATATGCTGTAAATCTTCTGCTGCTATCCCTACACCTCTATCTTCTACTTTTATAATAACTGTATTATCATGTTGATATATCGAAAAGAATATACTTTTACCCTTTGGGGTAAACTTGTGAGCGTTTTCTAATAAATTACTTGTAAGCTGCTTTATACGCACCTCATCAACATATGCAAAGGCGTTTTTATCAATATCTAGATGTAAATACTGTTCTTTTTCTTCAGTAATATAACGATACATATCAATTACTCCCTCCACAGCTTGATACAGATTCACTTGAGTCTTGGGTATCTTTATGGCTCCCGATTCTATTTCTGAAAGATCTAGTGCCTGTTTAGAGATTTTCTGCACTGTTTTAATAGATTGTATACTTGACAGCACTTGAGATACTTCTTCCTTCTGAGTGGCTTCGAGGCGCGACTCTAAGTAATTAAGAATACGTGTCAGTGGTGTCCGTATATCATGCCCAAGGCTCATTGCTGTGGTACGTAGGCTGTTTACTTGTTGTTCAATAACATCTAACATTCTATTGATGTTATGCTGTAGCCGAACAAACTCTCCACCTGTGGACACAGAAAGGCGCTTCCCAATATCTTGCTGGGAAATAATTTGCTCTGCAAGCTGATTTACCTTATGCAAGGGGTGAAGTAATCTATTGAGAACTACATATGCAATGCACCACCCGAACACCAGAACTATAAGCAAGATAAGGATAGAGCTCTGTGTTATCCGCATTATAAACTCATCTCGCTGTTCTGTAGATAACACCAGCTTTATGTTATACATCTGATTCCGTAATGTGTAGAGTACAAAATGCGTCCGTTGTCCTATGTTAGCGTCAAATAGTTGTATTCTTGCTAATGCTGATGTATCATTAATAGTGAAAAAATCTACGTTGCTTATCCCACCCTGCTCCCATATAGATGGATATGTAAAAAGTAATGGTTGTTTTTGTATATCCTCTATCCTTAATCCGTAAACATTAATGCTATTATTTATATCTCGGTAATACTCACTTCTCAATATAGATGTGTTCAAGCCGCTCCCTTCCTCGGCGGTGCTTGTTAAGTGAGAAATCAAGGCCCAATACTTCAAGAGCTTCTTATTTGCAAACGCTTCTTCCTCTCCTAAATATTGGTTATAAATATTAACAAGCAATACAAGAAAAGTAAGGCTATGACCCACAAGGACAATTATTGTAATTTGGATCAAGAGCTTAATGGGTATATGTGTTCTATTTTTTTTTGAGAACATAGCCAATACCTCTGCTGGTATGTATGAGTTGACAATCAAAGTCTTTGTCAACTTTTGAACGCAGCCTGGATACTAAAACATCTACTATATTTGTCATAGGATCAAAGTCGTAACCCCATATTCTCTCTAAAATCATGCTTTTTCCTAATACAAGTTCTGGGTTTTCCATAAAATACTGTAAGAGCATAAATTCTCTTCGTTGAAGCTCAATGGTCTTACCTTCCCTTATTACTGTTCTTCGCATTAAATCAAGCCCAAGATTATGATATACCAGTTCGTTGCTTGCGCTAGCCTTACCAATACGCATCAGTAAGCTTTTCACCCGTGCAAGTAGTTCAGAGAAAGAGAAAGGCTTGCTAAGATAATCATCTGCCCCTGCATTAAATCCAGTAATTTTATCTTCTACTCTGTCTCGTGCACTTAAAAAGATAACAGGTGTGTGTATTTTCTTTCTACGCCAGCTCTCCACCATATGAATGCCATCCATATCCCCTTTAAGCATAATATCCACAATCGCTAGCTCTATACCTACAGTTTCTACATACATTGTTGCATCTAAAGCATTGTTTGTTTTCTCCACTGAATGACCTGCCTCTTTTAACCCCTTATGCAAGAAATCTAAGATAAATGTGTCATCCTCTACTACTAATATGTATGCCATGTTATTGTTTTATGCTTCTCTTCTTTATTGTTATATCATGTAATGCATACACTACTGAATTCGGAGGGACAGATTCAGTAAGAAACACATTCCCGTTAATAATGCTATCGTGCCCGATAACAGTGTCTCCTCCTAGTATCGTTGCGTTAGAATACACGATAACATTTTTTTCGACAGTGGGGTGTCGTTTCGTGTTTTTCAAGCTGTGTGCTACTTTTGTTGCTCCTAATGTTACCCCTTGATATAGGCTTACATTATCATGAATTACTGTAGTTTCGCCAATGACAACGCCGGTTCCGTGATCAAGATAGAAACGCCTTCCAATGCTGGCTCCTGGGTGTATATCGATAGCTGTTTTGCTATGTGCGTGCTCCGTAAGCAGACGAGCAACAAGATGTTCCCCATGTGTAAAAAGAAGATGGCTCATACGAAATACTGCTAACGCATATATGGCGGGATAGCAAAGCACAACTTCTTTCAAAGACTTAGCTGCTGGATCAAAATTAGCCAAAACACAGGCGTCGTCAAATAGAAAACTGCGGAGCTCGTGCTTTTCAGACATCATAATGTCTATTACATTCGTAGAATTTCCGTAGTTCTCTAGAACACAGTTTAGAGAGTGTATAAATTCTGCTTCCTTTTTGTTGCTGAATATATATGTGTAGAAAAAATCGGCACAGGGGGCAATGCAATGCTTAAAAGATAGATCAACAAATTCCAAAACTAGAAATACCACACTGTGGCAACGTTAAAGCCCCAATTATTGAAATATTGAGTTTCCAATGTATAGTTGTTTACCCCTGTTAGATTGAGATCGATGGTATTGTTTGTTGCCAGTAAATGAATGGGGTAAAACGTTGCGTGTGCCCCTCCACTTATACCTAGGATATCATGTATATGAAACTCTACATCAAAGCCTATACCTAACCCCAAATCCCATGTTACACGCGGGTATTCTAAAGTAAAATCTTCCTGCATAAGATGGCTTGCAATACCTGCTTTTACTGAAAATATTGCTCTATTGGTGTACATTCTGTATGTAGCTCCAAATAACATTTCAATATCCAGACCCTTGACTACCGAATCCGCTGTTGTATTTTTTAGCACATACAACCCCTGCTCTACAAACGCCGGAATTCCCGTAGCACTAGATTCGGGATACAGTAACTCTGTAAACGAAAGTGGTAAATACAAATTGGTTGAAACAAAAACCCCAAACGGCTCCCATTGCATGGCCATAAACTGCATCCCCACCATAAAAGCATGGTAATGACTTGCTTGCTCTATAGTTTCTTTTGTTCCCGAACTAACATTGCTACGACTTGCGGTGTAGTGCCACTGTATGGAGGCGTATCCCATGTGTACAAGAAACATGTAACTTTGTTTTTTTTCTTGCAGCACTGTATAGATACTTTTCTCTTCGATGCGCTCATCTATGTCATTGAAATCTATATTTTGTGCATGCAGGACAAAGGGAGTGAGAAAGAGAAAGAGAAAGAGAATACATAAATAATATTTCATTGTGCTCTTTTATTAGTATACTCAGTATTTGCATTTATTGATAGACCATATTTTTGCTATATGCTACTATATGAATATGATCATCAGAGCCTCTCTTATAGTATTAATGCTACACACTTGCGTACATATAGCCCTAAGCCAAGAACAAGGAAATTGGCTCATAACAAAAACTGAAGCCACTGAGAACATTAACGCCATTGTCTTCAAAGAAAGAATGGAAAAATTTGCACGTATACTCAATGCCCAACTAGAGGATGGGATAATACCCCAGTCCTTTGATAGAAACCTTGCAGGCGAGCTACTTATTATATCTCAAACCTCACCACCAGCACAGGCAGGTAAGCAGTGGATGTACCGAGAATATACAAGCGAAGATGAGATGCTCAAAGATATGGAGAAGAATGCAGCTATGCGGTTTTATCCTGTGGGGTTTGATATTCAGCCCGACGGGGCGTATGTGCTGTACCTTCAGTCCACGTTTACACTTGAGAAAGTGCGTCTTATAAAAACAAAAAATACGGAGGAACTTACTGCATCCTTAGATACGTACCTGCAACTAGGTCTGATTCCTGTAGCAATGAGTTCATTTACAGAGAGTATATGGATCTTATTTGCGGGTTTTAAGGAAATAAATACCTCTTCTGTTGTGCTTAATGCTATCTCTAGCACTTTGGAAAATCTGCTGGAAACACTAGAAAAAGCATTGGATGATACTACGAGTCAAGTCTACGCCTTTACCACTACAGATGAAAAGGTGCTTATGATTATTGGAAGGAACAAGGCAAAAGAATGACACATACCTGCCTGTATGGATAGCGTTATGAGTACTAATAGAAGCACTAATAGATAATGGCATAAGACGCTGCAATGGTAAGTGTTGTATTATTGTACTTACTTGTACGGCTATACGGGTTGGCTCGCAACTCCTCCGCAACTCCTCTGTGTTTCTGTATCCATCTAATGTGCAAAAATGTAATAGTATATGTAAAGTAGTGTATTGACATGGATGACTTAATGCTCTTCATACGCATTACATGCTCTTTTACCCCTATATTGCTACAAAATATTGCTACAAATATTTTACCTCCCTATTACTCAAAGAATTACTCAAAGACAAAGAAAGTAAACAAACGCTCTATGTAGGCCACAAACCCATAAAAGAATGAAAGAAGACAAAAAAAGGAGCCATACGGCTCCTTTTTTTGTCTGTCTGTATACTAAGTTTAGTATGCTATTTCAGCTCC